GCAGAGCGACCAGACGGCACACGCAGATCAGACCAGACGGCACGCGCAGAGCAGACCAGACGGCACGCGCGGAGCAGACCTCGTTGTTGTGCGGTAGGATGCACTGACATCAGAAGGTCTGCGGGGCTTCCTCTCCTCACATGGGAATGGGTGGCATGAATGGCTGGAGTTTCGAAATTTGTGGCCATAAGGGGCAAGTATAGAGGCCGTTGCGTCGGGCTAACCGGTTTACTGGCCATCAATTCCGGCCACTAAATGGAAGATACAAAAACCATCGCTGCCATCAGCTTCAGATTGCCGAAAGTAAAAACGAAAATTACGATGAGTAAACAATAATGGAGAAGAGACCGAACGAAATTGTTTGTAGTTTTTTAGAGAAAAGATTATCAACATGAAGAATCAATATAGATTTTCATCCGATTATGACAGGAGTGATTGGGGGATTTGATGAAATAAGTCTAATAATTTAGCTTCTATCGATATATAAGACAGGTAATAGAACGCGAATTGGGATAATGTTGTGGGAACAATTTCACTTCAAGGTAAATGTTGTTAGAATACTTCGAATTTTCAAGTCAAGCATTAAGTTAAACAATTCAGGCGTCCGTTATAATACGTATCCCGTGAACCAAGAATTTAAATGCAAAAAATGCCTAAAAATCGTTACATTTTCGTAAAAAACGCACCTTGGACCGGCATTGTCATTATTTTTGCTTTGAATTGTTTGTTCAATTTAGTTTAAGCTAGTTAGTGATATGAGAAATGTTATCATATGAAACATTATTTGTCGTTGTTTACAACAGCTGGAGCCTGGGAGGCAAGCAACATTACCGGCTTAATAAATTTACCTAACATCATAAATGCATTGAAATTTGCATAATAAAAATTATCGCCTGCCTATCAGAAGATGTTATAAAAACGTTAACATCTCGTTACAGATTATATTGTCACTGGCAAGCTCATTTATTTATTCTTGCTTATTGAATGAGTTGGAACTACGTGGAACTTATGCGACGCGACCTGCGCGCTCTGCTACTCTGACTTCTGAGCAATCTATCCCGCTCAGCGAGACCTAACTAATATCGTCAACTTAATCGAAACTTACCAAACATCGTCAACCTAGCGAGACCTAACTAATATTGCCAACCAATTGAAACTTAGAGACTTATCAAAGATCGTCAACCTAGCAAGACAAAATTAACATCGTCAACCTAGCGAGACCGCTCGAACACCTTCAATCTTTTTATTATTCAACAATTAACTATTTTATCCCAGAAAGCACCTCAGGCTCAAACAAAGCTCAGCACCTTAGATAATCTAAAATAAATTTTAAGCAGTCAACGAGATTGAATCAATCGATTATATACTATATAAAGTGATTTTAGAATACTGATTGACAAGTCTTGTTCAGAAGCGTGATTTATTTTCAAACGATCGCTGGTAATGGAACGATCAGAAGAGAAAGAAATTATTCCATGAATATGCCCGGTTGGATAACAATCTAACTTAGCGAAATACATAGCGTGGAGGAATTGGCAGATGGAAGATGCGGCAGTAATTCCTTTCTTGGAAGATGGAAGTTTTTTTGTGGACTCGATAAGAAGTCTACAAACGATGAGCGGAATGAATACAGTAACTTATAATCTTATAATCTCTAGACTGCGGGATTTATAGGCTCAAAAGCTGTTTTGCACATGATTTCAAGCTCTAAAGGTTAGATTTTTACAGAGTTGGGCAAGATTTAACGGGAATAATGGATTCAAGGTAATATTGTTAACAATATCGGATAACCTAACCGAGGAATGACCATTTATAACAAACAACATAAAGGGAATATATCCAATCCTTTTTGATGCAAATATTAAGAATGCCTCGAAATGAAAGTCAATTTTGATTAATACAAATTCCAGAGTTGAAATGCCTGGAAAATTTTCATTGTGCAAAACAGCCTAATAAACCTAGCTCTAAGTTAAACCGGTCTGGTAGTTACTTTTAAATATTTAATTTAATGCTTAATGTTACTATTAAGTATTCAATTTGATGCTAAATGTTCAACACATAAATAAATCGCAAATGTAGCATTGAGTGGCAATACCATACCTCATCTAGGAAATATTTGAAAAAAGTCGGAATTTAACAAGAAAAATAATGTGTTATTGATTGTTTAAAATTCAGAAAAGTCTTTCCTAAAGGGACATGGGAAACCTTGTATGCGTCTTGTACCGACGAGTCTATTGACATTACGCACAAGTTTGACAACAAAAGGAAGAATAATCAATAACATTAATATCAAATTAGAGATGCCAATGTATAAGAAATCATCATCGCGTTTTAATATAATCAAAATATCATCATTACGTTATAATTTATCATTATAACGTAACTTTAATGTTATCACTACTCGAAATTTATACCGCAAGTTTGCCTTTAAGTGCCGGAAAAATGGGTTGAAGTTGAGACTTCATCGCAAAGTCTGCCTAAGGAAAATTAGAAAAACATTAAATAAGCAGAAATTTTGCCGATCGTAAAGAATTAATTCAAGATATTTTTATGATTTTTCAGAGTTAATGATTCCAATTGACGTAAAAATAATTGAAATGTCTTAAATTTTCGTTAAATAATTATAATTGATCGCAGGTTTCGGAATTACCTAAACTTTAGCAACATCCCCTGATAGTCAAAATTTATACAGCCTTAAAGCAGACGAAAGAATCACGAGCTAAGAGGCCAGAGTTATGAGAGAAATCCTTAAAACTTTCTACAATTTTGATCCCAACTTTCTGACATTCAGAAGGTCTTCATACCCAGATTGCGTTAACCTGGACACTTTTAAAAAATTTAATAAGATCCACTGCACAGAACTACAATTCGAAGGAAGATCTCATATCGAGAAATTAAATGAATAGAACTAAAATTTACCTTAAGAACTAATTGAAATAATTAATTCAATTAAAGAACTAATTGAAGAACTGACTGAAGTCAAGATGCTTACGAAGACAATGCTTACTTTCAGGTCGTGCTTCAGACGCTGCAGTGCTGATGCCAACTCACGCGGCTTCTTGGCGATCCTTCGAAGAAGAATCCGGTCGATTGCGCTGGAACTTTCCAAAACTCCACAAACTTCTTGGCTTCCCGCAGTTTTTCAGCCAAACAGTAAAATTCAAGGAATAACTTTAGCATTTCTTGGATCGGTATGAAAATAGGTGTGGAGGATTATATTGTGAATTAAATTTTCATTATATCACGCAGACGAGAAAGTGAAGTTTTATTAGTGGGGACTCACAGCAGCGCTAGTTAATCAATTAACGATCATTCGTCTCTCTTTTCTAATACAATCGAATGATTGAACATTCAATTTAACGGATTAGTGGAGCGATTTTGCGGTTGATTGGGACTAGATTAAGATAGGTTAAGCTGTTAATGAAGTAGAGCAATAATGCATAGCTAAAATTAATCCCGATTGAAGTAATGTGACTGAGCCAATTTTTCTCACGACATGCAATTTTTCAAAATATAATCAAACTATTATTACTAAAATTCATAAGGTAATAATTTATGTAATTTATAATAAAAAGTACTTGGAATTACAACAACACTAAAAACACAAAAAATCATAATCGTATGTTTTGAGAAAGATTCCATATTGGAAGGTAATTTTTTATATGCGTGTTAGTGGACAAAGGTGAGCATCGTTTTTAAAATGAATTTTCTGTTATGATACGATGCCAGTTGTTTAGCTCGATGTTTTTTCTATTCACGTTATTTAATTTGTTCACGAAGTTATGATAAAATCTCTATTAAATGACTGGTGACAGTATCTTAAATTCTGCAAGTTTATGATGTATATCATAATTATGCTGCGTATCATAATGATTTGCATAATCAATATCATTCTTTGTTTTCAATACGAGAATTTTAAGCTTCATTGTACTTTTTTAGTTTCTTTTGAACATTATAATACTAAAAAATTTTTTACGGCTATACTGCGACAGCCTATAAATTAAATCTGCCTGTACGTAGGTAGACTATACCAGTATAATTCAGGTAATACATACATACACACATACATTAGGGTACAGATTAATTGAACCTCATTAATGGTCACATAATTCTAAAGTTAAAAGACATTTTTTCAAAACTTAACATTAATTCAGCGGTCTTAATGAGACCACATGAGTGAGGTCAAAGGACAGAACAATGAATATACGCCTAGGATCACAGTTAAAACTTACCCCATTTATCGCAACAGTCTCTTGAAAGCGTATAAAACTACTCGCGTACAAAAATAACTGTAGCAATAATCAATAATAAAATATTAGGGTTCCATCATCAACCAAATTCATTGTAGTGCATTTCAACCGATGAAAATAGTCCCGGTGAAAATTTTCACAGTAATATATTCATTCTTCTGTAAGGAACGACATGAAATTGTTATGTACATGGAAGCAGCAACTCCTTTCTACGCGGCATAAGGAACGACAGCGAGATACTGGCAGAGCTTCTGACACTTGTTGGCCTCAATCAAGTGTCACATGGCGACACGTTTATGTCGCCATGAATCTTTTGCAAAACAATTTTTTTAAGTTTTAACCGTTGTATAAATTGTAATAAATGAACATTGTAAATGTTGTGCTGAACAGTTCATGCGTGGAGCTGTGGCAAAGTAGGAAGAGCATCACATTAAATGTTTAAATTGCTATTTTGCTTTCAGAATTACCTTTTCTTCAAACGTACAACTGATAACGAGCAAATAGATCAATTCCATCGACTAGCATGTTTGTACCCTTAATGTATTCAAATGGAAAATGAACAATTCAATATACTTATTTTCTTATTTGAATAATCTGATCTCGTATTGTCAGCTTTTGAATTTAGCCGACAGTTTTCAAAACACATTTGGGTGCTTGGGTTGGTTGAAATATTTCGTCTTAAGCATTTTGAGATTTTTATCCTCATTATTCTTGAGATTTTTTCAAATATCTTTTATATTTCGCGTCCTTGGTTGCTAACTAAGAGCTTTCGAAGGAAGGCCATTAAAGACCTCTTCAATTAAGCTTGGTGATGAGGGACATTGTAGCACATCAATGTGAATGATAAGATCAAAGTCGGCTTAATTGTGATGTGAAGAACGGGCTAAGGAGATCAGCTATTACTGGAATGAGGAACGCGTTTTGGCTGAATTCTTGTGAAGCTGTAATAACGTGTATCGTGGACTGAGCTCTGGAGGAATTAAATAGACTTTTTTTAGTCAATTTCAAGCTGTGTTCCTTGAGAGACTCTCAGTTTCTAATTCAGAAGCACTCTTAGACTTTTATTCTGATTGTATTATTTACTAATGTCTTATTAGGGTTCGTTTTGTTGACTCTATCTAAATTTAAATATTGTCTCAAGATATGTTTTATCTGTTCTCTAGACTGGATTTATACCGTGAGTTTGTAAAGCTTCATCAGGCAGATATCTTCCCAATTCCAAGTCATTACAGCATTTATATGCCTTTTGTTAAGGTCAAATTTGGAAATGATTTCTGGAGATAAGCCGAAGGACAGCGAGGTCAGCTCCCTAATATCGGCCTTAAAATTTGTTATGGATGTAATTCTTCCTGCTAGTTTTAGAGGTGAGTTTCTATGAGGATCCTAGTATGGCAATCTGGTGTGGACACAAGATGGCCGAAGCTCTCCAGTTCTCGCTGTCGTCCGTCTTCATGCTAGGACCTGCCGGCCCTTGAAGCAGAGATGAACGAAGAGTGTCTGTGTACTCGACGCTTTTTGCCACACAGAATCCTTTTAAAAGCGTGCCGAAAATCAGGACTAAAAATAGTATATATTATAGGGTTTAAAGTTGAGTTAAAATAACCCAGCCACAGAAATGTAGAGATGACATAATCTGATATCGAGCACATCTCCGTGCACAGAGGCATGACTAGCGCAAGTATAAAAAACGGCATCCAACACATAATGAACGCCCCCGTGATGATTGCAAGTGTCTTGGCTGCTTTTCTCTCCTTACGGCTCTCGAGTTCTCTTCGTCTCGGGAAGCTCCTGTTGGCAAAAAGCAGCAGCGGATTAATGGACAACACATCAGGGCGAGGAGCGTCAGGCTCTTCCTCCACGCCATTCAAGGCTGCTCCGTTTGACGATTTTTCCGGAGATTCTGGTGAACGTCGTCGCCTCACTGGTCGTAGTAACGGCCTTCTTTGGAGCAGGAGTGGATCCTGGTTTGCGGCGAATCCGCTTCCTAGCTGTCTGGTAGATACGCCAGTAGAGCACCAGGATCACTGTCAGAGGGAGGTAGAAGGATGTCAGGGTGGCAAAGATTTGGTATCCAACGTCCTGCGACACGAGGCACTGGTTGTTGCTGATGCGTTCGTTCCAGTTAGGATCCTTCCAGCCCATCATCGGGGCTGCAGAGATCAAGGCTGACACCATCCAGATGACGACGATCATCGTGAGCACCCGACGTGTGGACCTCTTCTGCATGTAGTCCACGTACGTCACTGCCCAGAATCTGAGGGAATGAATCATTCGAAATATATTAGTAAGACGGATATTGGATTTGCAAATAATAATCAGGCAGAATCACATTCGCAAGAATGACAGGAATAAGAATTACAGGATAATTGAATTTAATGTATGTAGACTAAGAGAAAATATTTGTCAGTGCACCTCACCCGTCATGCACCTCACCTGTCGAGAGCGATGGCGACGAGGTGCAGGATGGACGCGGTGCAGCAGAGCACGTCAGACGCCGTCCACATGTCGCACAGCTCGGCCCCCATCCGCCACTCCTTGCTGACCTGCGCACATAGAGGGACATTGATGAGAGAAAGTCACGGACGTGCCGGTGCAGAGTGGGACATTGATGAGATAAAGTCACGGACGTGCCGGTGCAGAGTGGGACATTGATGAGAGAAAGTCACGGACATGCCGGTGCAGAGTGGGACATTAACGAGAAATAGATAAAGGCGTTCTAATACAAAGTACGCGATCAGCTCAATTTTGGTTTGGTACCACCCATTTCATAATTATCATCCATCTTGGAGTGTCGATGTGAACACATTACGGTCAACGAGTGAAAGATATGAATGTGCATAACTAGTAACAATTAATGATTAATTATTTTAGCACGCTGATGTGGTGCCCTGCAATCACGTTTGTTTAGTGGAAGAAGGTGATGTGCCCAATGCTTTTTATGAGAAATTCATTCATGACATGGACGTGGTCAATTCATTTCAGTCTAATCTAGAATTAAATGCACAGAGTTCAGTGTTTGCAGCCTGTCAGCATATTTAACTGGTCTCAGGGATTGAGATAGTTTTCAGAACGTTTTAGAAAATTCAACAACCTCACTTCTGCCTCTGGCGGAAAGATTACGATAATGAGGGTTACTTACATCACGTGGAGTGGCCTGTCTGATAACAAATGGATAACTACATTCGGTAGAATGGTTTGACTGCCGCAAAAGACCTTTAGAAAGCTGGCCAAATCTTTCAACCTATTTCAGCAGAAGCCAACGGAATATTCGGAAGTTGGGTGGCTAAAGTGGGGTGGCTAGAGTGGGGTGGCTAGAGTGGGGTGGCTAGAGTGGGGTGGCTAGAGTGGGGGGGGCCAGAGTGGGGTGGCTAGAGTGGGGTGGCTAGAGTAGGGTGGCTAGAGTGGGGTGGCTAGAGTGGGGTGGCTAGAGTGGGGTGGCTAGAGTGGGGTGGCTAGAGTGGGGTGGCTAGAGTGGGGTGGCTAGAGTGGTGGCTGGAGTGGTGGCTAGAGTGGTGGTTAGAGTGGTGGCTGGAGTGGTGGCTGGAGTGGTGGTTAGAGTCATGGCTGGAGTGGTGGCTAGAGTGGTGGCTAGAGTGGTGGCTGGAGTGGTGGCTAGAGTCGTGACTAGAGTGGTGGCTGGAGTCGTGACTAGAGTGGTGGCTAGAGTCGTGACTAGAGTGAGGCGCTCAAGAGGAATGTGTGCATTACCTTCGGAGAAATTTTCCAACCGTCCTACTCCTATAACGAAATGACACACATCATGATAACCATGGTTGAACTAGTATAAGTTGACCCATCAGAAGCCCATTTTTGCGGATGTAGTTCGTTGTTCGCCTGTGACGTCACTGATCTCAGTGACGTCACGGGCATTGACCAATCACCGAAATGCGATCAAACCAGTCAACCAATCCGTCATGGGAATGACGGGTTTGTTTACATTTCTTGATCTACGTGACGTAATAAGAAAGCTGAACTGAAAGACGGAAATCCTCGTGGGTCAACCTTATGAAGTTCAACCATGATGATAACGACCTATATCGATTATGTCAGATTGACAAAAATAGATTTAAATTTCAAAAGTTAATTTTGGATGCGGTTAAAAATAAACTTTTCAGTCGTAATAGCGTGCTACAATATCTTTAAAACTTTTTTGAGCACTCACTTTTGTGAATGTTCTGGCCACGTTTATCTCTTGTGGTAATTTGCATAATCATTCATAGTATTTTCCCAGGAACGCAGTTCGCGTTAATTGTTACACGTTGCTAAACTAATTATACCGCTAATTAATCAGGATAAGCTGGATGAAAGCTCACAGAGGCTTTGTCAGAACTTTAATTTATTCGCGAAATGGTTTATTCTTAAATCTAAATCTCTAATTAAGATTAAATCGTTGCGTCCGAACAAATTAAATAATATTGCGGATGGAAATTGCTCTCCAATCATTGCTAAATGTGCTTTCACACTCGGTCGCGTCACAATGTTCATCGCTAATCAGTCATTGTACAGAGAACACTCACACTCTAACATTGTACAATGCCTAATGCATTGCTGTCTTACTTAGTTAATGTACAGCGGCAGTTGACATAATGTAATCTGTACTCTTAATCAGGCACTATATAATCATTACTCTTAACAAGGCACTTATACACATCTGCACTTCTAAACAGGCTTTATGCAATTTGTATTCTATATCAGGAATATGCAATCTTTACTCAGTTGTTCAATGTACATAACATATTCTACGGACATATGATTAATAAAATGAACTTAACTCAATGTTAATTAAATAACAATTGAACAAGATATGTGGAAGTTTCCATCATGACCCATTAAGGTTTTTTAGTTAAAGAAGGCAAAGCCCTCGAGAAAAGTCTAGATGTGATAATTTAAATATTCGTTATTTCCGCCTGATAATGGGCGCTTCGAGTTTATTATAAGGCTGCACATATATTATGATTATAATGCCACAAAAGAATGAGCCTTAATTCTTATTAAGAATCTCGGCTATCCTTTTCTTTGCCGTACCATTACCAAATAATTTTCAGAATTTGCCTAGAAATATCATTGCCAAGTTTGTATTTATTCAGAGACCGCATCGAGCTAAATAAAATGGATGAAAAACAGCCCCAGGCTCCACGGAAAATAACGCTGAAATAAATATAATTAATTTTGACGCAAACTATCATTTTTTTTGAGACGCATTTATGTGGAGTCCGCAGAGAAAATTTCTTGCGCACCCAAATTACCTGCGAGAAAATATGACGTTAACTATACAGAAATTAAATCCTATATGAAATTGTGGGAAAAAAATAGTTGAGGTGAGGGTCGCTTACATTAAAATATTGACGAAGAAATATAACTTAAAACAGTTCAAAAACGTTTTATTGATTTTCGATTTCAGCTAAAGGAATGAAATGTTCCTAACAGTAAAAAATTCCAGGGCAAGCCAAGCAATGCAGCTCCAGACTCAAAGGTTTGGTCACAAACTCTTGCGTACTGTTTGTTCAGGACGCCGTGTTTGTCGATGGACGAGCCCTCATGCCAATAGTCAAACAAACAATTTGTACAAAAATAGGAACAGTCTGGAAAACTTTCTCGATGTGAAAGCGTCCTTTTTCCATGCGTGTTTTAAGTTTAAATTTGCGAATCCATGGACGTTAGAGAGATGAAAGTTCTGGCACTTTTCTTAAACGTTAAAATTAATTTTTGAGAGTTTGTGACAGCCTTGTGAAACTGTTCCCATAATTTACATGATTCTGCTGCGAATGAAATTGAAATAACTCTGCCGAGCTGTAGGAAGCTAAAATTTTAATGCAAAGTCTTGCAAGTAAAAAACTATTCATCTAATATATACGATATAATTATTATAAATTAGGTTCTAAGTTGTCTTTCAATAATTGGCAGACACCAACCCACTTATAATCCTTCAGTATTATAACTTCTTTTTAACGCATGCTCTCATTTATGGAAAAAATATAATTCAGTACTCGCTGCAATGAGTGACAGAGAGCGCATTTTCTCGTCGACGAAAACGTGTAGCCACGGACGGACAGACAGGCGGACAGACAGACGGACAGACGGACGGACAGACGGACATGGCGAGCACAATAGTGCATTTTTCCATAAATGAGAAAATGCGCTAAAAATGCAGTATTGTGCTCGCCATGTCCGTCCGTCTGTCTGTGCGTCTGTCAGTCCGTCTACGAGAAAATGCGCTTTCTGTCAATCACTGCAGTGAGTACTGAGTTTTTCAATATAATCTGAGCAATAACACATTAATGTCCCACAATAAACTGGAAAATCGAAACGCAAAACTTTGATTAAAAAGGCTGCTGTGGCGTAAGACACTCGTAAGTTTGCATGCGTTCAGCCTGACTCGAAAACATCTCATTCGCAAGAAGGATCTACCGATAAATGTTTCCATTAGAATTAGTGCATCCGCATATTTTCTGAAATGTATTTACTTCCCTACGATATTATCTCACTGCTAGAACTCTAGAATTTTAACTGGAATAAACCAGATGTCCTGAATATACCCCACGGATGATGAATACTGCACAAGCATACGACCAACTATGATAAATGCAATGCAAGCTTTCATCAAATAACGATAAATACATCGATAGACATTTATCTTAGAAGCTAGGGACAAGAGAATGCTTCGCCATAACCCCAAAATCGTAATCTCTCATGTCACCCTCATTATACCCTCACCTCGTAGACGGCTCCCAAAGGCATGACCAGCGCCGCCACCAGCAGGTCGGCGACTGCCAGGCTCAGGATGAGGTAGTTGGCTACCGACTGCAGGTTGCGCTCCAACAAGATGGCCGCCATCACAAACACGTTCCCTGCAAGAAAAATAAATGGGTGTTGATTCAGTGGTTTCAGTTCAGAGTACCATGATTAGAACAGAGTTGTCGTTTCGATCCCAGCCACCTGCGACAGTTCTAATCAAATCGGCGAGAGGTCGGATGGTTAGGCACAGCAAAGTTGGAGTAGTGAGTTGCGTCTTCCAGGGGCCATACTTTCAAAACTCGCTAAGTTAACGTAAGTACTTACGCTCTATTTTCTTGTCTATTATTGGTGGATTTTGTTGAAAAGGAAGGCCGTCAATGATTGGCTGATGAACTTACGATCTCTTAACTTTTTTTTGAAAATATGGCTCCAGACCTACAACAAGCTATGAATGTTCTGCGATGTTCAGAGTAGGTGACTGGTATAATGGCCAAATTAACGCTGATGCCACTATACTACACTACAAGGAGCCCAGAGCCTGCATTAATGACAAGTTCGGTAGTACGATTAACAAGATGCGGGCGATCAACTAGAAGACGTTACATGCAGCCAAAATGCACGCGGTATACATCATGTGGCCAGCAGCATCTACATACGCAGGGAGCCTTATGTCCTGTTGAGCTTTTCTGCCAGTGAAGTCAATTCAGAAGCCGCATTCTATGATCTTGAAGAGTAATCCACTTCACTACGCTATTTTAACATGTGCGGCCTGAAAACTTTTTCTGGTAAAATAAGGAATAATAATAATAGACCAGAATAATAATAATTCTGGTCTAACGTCACCTACTATATAAGATCGTAACAAACCAATTGTTACCCAGTCTTACGTCACCTGTGCTTGTTGCAACTCACTGCTTTTGATAAAAACAGACGCAAGGCTAAAAACACTAGATCAATAGAACAAATATAGGTACCTCGAACCATCGCGAAAAACGTGACCCTACAATATATTGTACATCAATTATACGGTAATAGCTGAGCGTCAATACAAAATATGGTATAGGAATATGACATGTTGGAGCAACATGATACATGCCGCAAAAAATAACATATCACGATGATCAGGTCGGTCTAGTGATGAGGAGTCGACTCTCCTACAGTCGATATCTGGGTAAAGTTTGGGAGAAATTATAGCGTTTACGTTTTCCCGAGTTTCAATATTTCGAGCTTTATGAATGAATGACCGGCATATCACGCACTAAAGTGATATTGAAATGACATTCAATTTACACATTAAACAGCTTAAAAAAGAGTGCAAACTTCTTTCAATTCCCAAGCCAAAGAGCTCTAGACCAAACCTCACACGACACTGAATACAGTTAAGGCGGGAACTCGCTTGAATTTTGAGGAGCAGCGTATGAGATGGACATAGTCACATAGGACAGGCAATTCTCCAGTAGTTATGAATCGCACAACGAGAAACCCAGAACTCAGATTCATGAGGCTGCCTCTTCAATAGCATTCATTATGGGGACAATGGCAGCCCACTTAGAAGCTCTGCCTTCACGTGCATAATTAAAGAGTCAAGGGGAGAGTTTAACTTTCAACGCCACGACTGCAATTCTGGAGCAAGAAGGTCGAAAATAACCTTCATGGAAGTCAGTTCATGTGAATGAACTCGCGCGATGCTCTATGATGAGTGAGTTGAGCTAAAATTTTATGATGAGCTAAAATTTTCTCGGTTATAATTTAGTAGTGCTCGATTTCTACAGTTAATTGTAATACTTTTTTTTTGTTTTAAAAATGTATTAAAGACAGAAAATTATGCCTAGAAAACAATTGAGTTTTCTAGCCAGTTGCAACGTGACTTAAAAAACCGGATCAAACACTCGCTTAAGCCTACCAATTTCCGCAGATACGCAGACAATTTGGGGCACAATTCTGAATTTAATTCAGTATGTCAGCATGGAACTGATCGCCAAATTCATTAACGCGTGCGTAATTAATTAACAAACTCTTCTTAATTCGTAAGATAATCTGAAGCCGCAGCAGTTGCGAGAAAAAAAGTTAGGCGTCAGCTGATGCTGGCACTGCTGGCGGTGTTCATTTATAAAAGGAGTCATTGAACAAGTCAACATGATCAACTATGCAATATTCTCTCATTCGTTCCATCAGTTAGATCATTGATCGAAGCAAATATATCACCATTTGATTATTCCAAACTTGAATTGAAATTCAAACATATTGATATTAAAATGTAAGCGTGTGATTACGATGCCAGATTTTCCTAGGATTACTCTGAGATTACATAATGCAAGCGAGCGATTGGCTCTTGAATTCCCGGAAGCAATAAAGTTTAAATCGCCGGTTCTTATAGTCGAACATATACGATTTTAAGAAATCATAGAATAATATTACATGTGTTATTTATAGTATTGATTATTTGGCCTCACGGGTGAAATGACGCATGCATGGAAGCATTCTTCACAAATTAGAATTATTTGAGTTTATTCGATCCGAGTACTCAGTCTCATTTTATGAGTACAACAAGTTGAGGCGCTTATTCGCATTTCTGTATCTATACGGGGTATATACTCTTATATATTGACTTTACTTACAATATTCATCTAACAGAAGATATTCATCACAGATAAGTCTCCAAATATATTTTCGAAGTAATGCACAAAAGGAACGTAAATTGCAATTATAGATATACTTGAAGCTAGCAGGAAGCAGCGTAGCGAAGTGAATTACTCTGCAAGATCATAATGAATGCGGCTTCTGAATTGACTTGACGGGCAACAGACAGAAATTTTTGTCCTCCCAAAGGCAGCTGCTATTGTAGGACGTCGTCGAGAGCATCGTTTGCGAATCTCCTGAGACCTGATTACGAGGGAGCTTTTGCTGGTCCTGGATCACCGCCAAGACCAGACCGATGCCATCGCACGAATGCGTACTGAGAACCAATGACTCCATGACCAGACTATAGCCATCGCACGAATGCGTACTGAGAACCATTGACTCTATGACCAGACTGTAGCCATCGCACGAATACGTACTGGAAACAAATGCCGTCAAAACTATAAGGTTTAATGATTATTAACAGGAAAATGAGTCAGACAGTGTCCTAAAAGTGATACACTTTTTGCCCTAGCGTGGATCATCCTGTTCCAATTTGGCCTCTGGCAAAAGTACGGTAAATCAGTGCTACGACCGTTCACTACTCGAGTTCGTCATTATTTTAAAGTGTGACCCATTGATTTTTTCGGAGTGAAGCTCTCCTAATTCTTTTGGCGGCTCATTCAGAAGCTTGCAGATTGGCGCCAACACTTCAAGAAGCACACTTGATAGCGGTTAAATTTTGCATGAGACACTAAAGTAAATAATGGCGAACTCGTCATTATTCTCATTATAATATTTACAGTGATGAAGTGCACAATACAAGTGGAAGACTCCGATAAGAATATCCACAGTATCGACAATTTATAACCTACAATTTATCGACAATCTCCACGACCTCATACCAAATCAAGTTTTCGCATGGAAAGCCACAAGTGAAGGCATTTTCATGAAGTTGGTAAGTTGCTCATGCCGATGCTCTTGCAGGACAGCCGCAAGTGAAGGAGACATATTTCAGACGCATGTAAGACGTTCATGTTGATGCTTTCTCATGAAAGCCACAAGTAAAGGCATATTCCCGACGGATGAAAGACGCTCATGTTGACGTCTTCGCAGGACAGCCACAAGTTAGGCGTGCTCTCAATGCATTGCGCTGAGCACGGAAGTAAGACCATCCAATCTTGTCTCCTTCAATTGTTCGGCGTCTCAAGCTTTTGAAATATCCAGGCCTCGACGCATTTCCTTCTTCGGCAGTTGTGACTCAAGCCAAACTTTGGTCACCAGAGAGTTATTGTCTCAGCGTTAGCAACGAAAAAAGTGTGCAGTGCAGGTGACGAGTAACGCAGAATAAATTGTACGGAAGAAATGCACAGAAAAGCTGTTAGAATTTGATAAAATTGCCAAATAATTGCGAAGCGTAAATTTTTCAGTGGTGGAATAATTTATCAATCAATTTATGCTACTGTAGAGATATTCTTTATTATTTATTGTCCATTATTTATGCTAAGACAGAGACTATCCTCCCTTAGACTCGGTAACCTGCACTGTAGCTGAAGCGATTACTTGTAATCGAGTGAATATCCTGCTGCTGGCCAAATTTTCTCTAATCACAGAAGGAGAGATTGATGAGCGTTGCTCCCGTGTCACGGCATCCTTCTTATCGCCAAAGTTTAATGATAGGAGCCATCCATCGGTCTTGCAGGAGGGGTGGGCTATCGCAATCTTCCTTAGGTGGGTTGATCTTCCGTAGGTGGGTTGTCGGGATCTTGTTTAAGTGGGTTAATGGGATATTCTTAAGGTGAGTTATTGTGAGCTATTATCCGCGTTTTTGTCCGAGACGTCATTTTCGCCCCGTACAATGACTGCCCTGGGACGCATGAGAGAATTAACAACTCTTATTTTCTAAGTCCTGCAATGTTTACTTCTAACGGCGTTTTGAAACTTTGAAATGTAGATATAATAATGAAACAAATTATATTTCTTACTTTGATACTAAAATGCAGACATCTGATAAATATTTGCTAAAGTTTCTACGTGGGTTTGAAGCCTGTCGAGAGTACAATGAGAGTCGTTTCTACTACTAAATGAAATGTGTGTTAAAGGATATCTTCATTACATAGGCGATATTATTATTATTTTCTGGATTAGAGATTACGGGAATGACGGGCAACTTAACATAATGATTGAACTCGTCGGATGGTTGAGGCCTCTACCAAGGCCTGTTCAACTCTCCAAAGTCGAAGCCAACCTGATTCATTGCGCATGCGGAAGTGCCGATGATATCATAGCTAACATCTGATGATATAGCTAACATCTACGTACTAAGAGTGGGTGGATTTCTAGCGTCCACCGTTTGACCGCGAGTTGCATTTGCTTCGGTACAACATTTTAAGTATCTACATCTGCATGTGTAATCTACAGTAAGTCACATTAAGAATATTTATTATTGATGTGATGCAATAAAAATTGCATGTGTTGTTTGTTTTTTTCTATA